TTGGGGATGAGGACGGGACAGCAGCGCGAGACCTGGCCCCTCTCTTAACAAGGCTCGAGTCGCACCGCTGAGCCTCGCTGGTCCCGGGGGCGAGGAAATGCCGTCTCCATCAGAAGGCGGGCAGCAGTTTTATTTTGCTGGGTTTTAGCAGCAGGAGAGTGGGTGTGCGGGAGGGCTTGTAGGATGTCCGCGTCCCGGTCCGGCCCTTGTGCACGATAACCGCCTCTGAACACGTTACGGCTATTGATTCACTCCCTAGCCTCTTCTCAGCCTCTGGTAATCAGGCATAGTTTGTGTTTTCTGCTTTAGAGCACAGTTGTCACTTCCCTTTCCCGAGTCAAGTGGGATGGGATCCGTGGACGGTTTTAAACGCCGCTTCGCATCTGCCAAACAAGAATGCGATCGCCCTTCCATTAACGATAAGTCTCGTCTTAAACTCCCATAAAACAGTGGGAAAGTCGTGTGATATGCTGCGAATACCTTGGCTTTTTAATGCAATCTGAAATGCTCCGGAGCCACCGACCGTATTTAGCTGTTTATCCAATTTTACTTTGAATGATTGCTTCAGCAAACTTGGTGGAGATCAAAGAATCCCCCCCCGACATGTTCGCCTTTCATTAGCGCTGCGCGCCGCAATCCTGAAGCGGTCGGGGAAGTTCACTTGGAAGTTTTCCGTTTTGACACCGTTTGGCTGAGAAGTGTCCAGATATTTGAAGGCTTTGTCCGTTGGAGTAATTGCCAATTTGGCAAGATTCACTCGGGGTGAAAAGGGCGAGGAAAAAAGAAAAAAACAACCCACCCGACATGCGTATGTACGCACAGACACACACAAGCGCGATCCCCAACTTATCTATGCCTCTATCTGTGACCCTGGCTCCTCTGGTGCGGAAAGGGTCTCCTGGAGGACTCCTGCTGCAGGGAGTGGACCGGACCGGGGCAAGGTGTCGGCCCCACGCCTCCATGGGAGTCGCGGCCCCACGAATGATACTTTACCCCGGGGGGGTCGGCGTTGACCTGCTTGTTTCAGCGCATCACCTGCTCCCTTCTCTCCTTCCCTTCCTGCGGGGAAAGGAGCGTGCTCCTCGGGGAAAACCCCCGAGCAGAAATTCCCTCCGACTGATTTTACCCCCCCCGGGTGTGTTGACAGGGGGATGTGCCTGCGAGCGCGACGTGTGACGGGGCCGCGGCGCAGCCCGGGGCAGCCGCCCCCTCCCCGGCTTCCCCGCTCCTATAATTTATCTGAG